TGGTCTTCTCTGCTGGCAGCTCCTCTCTGGCATTTGGGAGCCTGGGGAAAGGGACCCAGTGGAAACAACCGGAGTATTGCCTTTTCTGGCCACCTGGGGGCGCCAGCTCGTGCCGTGTGATAGGGCTGCATAAGCCAGCCTTGCAGAGAGCTGGTCGCCAGAACTCAGGAGCTAGAGTTCTGTGTGGATGAGAGAGGCGCTGAGCAGCTGTGGAGGAGAGTGGTTAATGGCTCAGGCCTTGGGATCTTGGGGCAGCTCCTCGCTCTGAGCCTTGGTTCCTCCTCTGCAAAATGGGGATCATAATATCATCTCCTACAGTTATTGGGGGGGGGGTTACAATAATCTCTGTAGAGTACCTAGCATGCTTAGTTATTACCATCATTCGCTTCACTCTGTCAAAGCCTGACATAGCCCCAAACAGCTGGAAACAGCACTGCCCGGCACCTGACTGCCAAAGAGGCTCCTCTGTCTCACACTCAGCACTCCCTTCGGTTAGATTTGATTACTGATGAGGAGGAGGAGGATTAATTATTAAACTTTCATTGAACCCTTAGTCTGTGTCCAGCTCTGTTCAGGACGCTGGTGACTAGGGACACAGGGAAGTGATTGGCATGGTCTCTGGCCTCAAGGACCTCACAGTCTAGTGGTGGATGGAGCTCCCCCAATAACAGATGGAGACAAACTGACATGAGGAGGCATGGGTCTTTAAAACATGTACTGTGTTGATATTTTGAATAAATTATACATGCACACAGCACACACTCCACGGGCTACAGAAGAGGGGAGAATGAAAAGGGAGTCTCCCTCTCACCCGGTCCCTCAACCCATAAATTCCTTTCCCTGGATTAAATGTAGTCATCAGTTTTTTGTGCATCCTTCCGGATATATTCTCTGCCCATGTATTCCTTTAAAACACTTCCATTATATAGACATTAGGTTGTACCCACTGTTTTTTGTCTCTCGCTTTTTTTCACTTGATATTTTTTGGTGATTTAAAAAAAAAATCCCTAAAAAGCTGTGTCACCTTGGGGTGCCTGGATGGCTCAGTCAATTAAGTGTTGGACTCTTGATCTCAGCTCAGATCTTGATCTCAGGGTCATGAGTTTGAACCCTGTGTTCCAGCCTACTTAAAAAAAGAAAAAAAAAAAAGCTGTGTCATCTTTTCCGTGGCTGTAGAATGGGGGTTCTCGACCTTGGCACTATTGACGTATTGGACTGGGTAACTCTGTTGCAGGGCTGGCCTGTGCATCATGGGATGTTTAGCAGCATCCTTGGTCTCTCTGCCCACTAGAAGGCAATAGCACACAGCCACCACCTCCCAGTTGTGACAACCAGAAGTGTCTCTAGCCACTGGCAAATGTCCCCCTGGAGGACAAAATTACCTCTGGTTGGAGCCACTGCTATGGAGGGCTCTGTCATTCAGTGGGCACCATGATTTATTGCACCAGACCCTTCTTGATGGACTCTTGGGTTGTTTTCACCATAAGCAGCGATGCTTCAGTGACGACCCACATGCCTACCACACTTTGCACACGTGTGTCTTGGAGGACTCACTTGCTAACTGTGGAACTGCACGACCCAAGGGTTTGTACATTTACACTTTCGCAGATGGTGCCCATTTGCTAGAGGAGGCGTATTCTCTTGGGCAAAGGCTCACCTGAGTTTCCTGGGTTATGGACTCCTTTGAGAAAGCCACGAAAGTTTTCACTGCTCTTGCCAGGAATGCTCATTCCCTGCTGATGGCACAGTGGTCCAGGATTCAAGGAAGCCCACTCCTGTGTAGGTCTCCTGTGACAGTGAAGAATTGCTATACCAGACTGAAGAAATGCTTAGTGAGGGATGTGGGAAGAAGTGGGCTAGGGGGAGTGGGGAAAAGGGATCCAGGAGAGGGAAGAATCATGAGAAGAGGCATGTGGAGGTGGGGTGTGCTGGTTGGGGAAGCAACACGGGGTGAGGCTGGACAGGTTGGGGGGTGGGAGTCAGACTTCTCATGAGAACTGGTGGGTGCTTTACCCTGTGGGTACTGGGGCATCATGGAAGATTTTGCTTTTTAAATCAGGGCATCATTTACACACAGTGAAACGCACCATTTTCCAGTGTAGCAGCCTCCTGCAGAGTCTTGACAAATGAGGGCCTGTCAGGCAACTGCAGCCACCACCAAGACCTAGTAGGCTTCCATCACCCCCGAATTTGCCTTGCCTCTTTCTGGTTAACCCCTCCTCCATCCACAAGGACTGGCAACCACAGATCTGCCCTCTGTCCCCACAGTTTTGCCAGAATGTTTCCAGAATGTCATTTCCACGGAACGGTGCAGTATGTAGTCTTTTGAGCTTGGCTGACGCAGCTGAGATCCACCCTTTGCTGGGCAGGTAACCCTCTTGGTGCCTTTCTGTGCCTGAACAGATGCACTGGGTGGACGTTCCGCAGGTTCTTTGCCCGTTCCCCGCCGCACACCCCCCCCCCCCGACCGAGGGAGGGACGGTGGGTTGTTGACAGGTTGGGGCGATTAGGGGTAGCGCGCGAGGTCTCAGAGGCGGGGAGTGACCTAGTTCGAAGCAGCAGCTTCGGGGAGGCCGCGCCGGGGAGGGGCGGGGCGGGGGCGGGGCAGGGCGGCCGCGGCGGGCGCTCACCGCTCCCCTCCTCTCCCTCCAGGGTACGGCCACGCCGCGCCGGGCACGGACTCGGGCAAGGTCTTCTGCATGTTCTATGCGCTCCTGGGCATCCCCCTGACGCTGGTCACCTTCCAGAGCCTGGGCGAGCGCCTGAACGCGCTGGTGCGGCGCCTCCTGCTGGCGGCCAAGCGCTGCCTGGGCCTGCGGCGGCCGCGCGTGTCCCCCGAGAACATGGTGGTGGCGGGGCTGCTGGGGTGCGCCGCCACCCTGGCCCTCGGGGCCGCCGCCTTCGCGCACTTCGAGGGCTGGACCTTCTTCCACGCCTACTACTACTGCTTCATCACGCTCACCACCATCGGCTTCGGCGACTTCGTGGCGCTGCAGAGCGACGAGGCGCTGCAGAGGAAGCCGCCCTACGTGGCCTTCAGCTTCCTCTACATCCTCCTGGGGCTCACGGTCATCGGCGCCTTCCTCAACCTCGTGGTCCTGCGCTTCCTGGCGGCCAGCGCCGAGGCGCCCGAGCGCGCCGCCCGCCGCCCCGGCCCGCTCCGCGCGGGGGCGCCCGAGAGCCGCGGCCGCTCCCCGCCCCGCCGCCCCCGGGCCCGCGCCCGCGGCTCCGCCTCGGTCTCCTCCCGCGCGCAGCGGCCGCAGCCGGGGGCCCGCGACAACCTGGGCTTCTCGCCTCCCTCGAGCCCCGGGGCCGTGGGCGGCGGCGCGGCGGGCAGGCCCCCGGCCCGGCGGAAGTCCATCTGACGGGCGGCGCGGCCCCGGGGCCACCGGGCAGCACCGCGCCCCCCGGGACTTGGGCGGGGTGAGCGGCGCGGCCAGCCCCCCCTCCCCCAAATTAGAGTAAAGCCGCAGCGCAAGCGGTGCGAATCCCCGGGGGTCCCCGCGGTTTGGGGAAGGCGGGGCCGCATCGCCTCCCAGGACAGGCTGCCTGCCCGCGCAGCTGGCCGCTCTCCTGTGGTGAGAAGAGGCAGGTTCTCCGTGGTGCGGGGAGACGGGCGGCTTCGACGCGGGCCCCGCCCGAGCAGGTGAGGCCACGCTCACCCCAGGAGGAGCCTGAGAGGTGCCGGACCTCGGACCTCGGGAAGCGTGTCCTGCCCAGTGCGGAGGGGTGGGCAGATCTGCACTGCTTAAAGCCTCTCTCGTCGGCCCCCGGCCCCCGAGCGAATGGAGCACGCACCCCCCTCCTCGGGGCCCCCTCCCCCACAGCCTGATACTCTGTCCTTGGCCAGTGCCGCCTCGCCTCACGGTGAGAGCGGGCCTTGCTGACACCCGCATCCCTGGGGCATCCCTGGGGCATCCCTGGGGCACCGGACGCAGCAGCATCCCCTGGGAGGAGCCCTCGTCTGGCGGCAACTGCGAGGTCTGGGTCCTGCCAACTGCCCACCGTGTGACCTTGGGGACTGTCATCCCCGACCTGGGCCGCGGGTCACCTGGAATCCGGCTCCCCACCCCGCTGCATCTCTGGAAGGGTCACGTGCCCTGCCCCTACGACGCCCAGGGTGGCCATGCTGGCTTCCTGTAGCGCTCTGCTCCTCCAAACACCAACTCCCCTTGGCTTCCCGGACAGAACTCTCCATACAAAGCAGAGCCAGCCAGGTTAGAAAAGCCAAAAACTTTTAATTTTCAACATGAGCTACATGGTCATGAACACAATGCAACATGGCCCACTCCAACCCAGGCCTCCCCCCGCCCCAGGGAAACCCTCCCTCCCTCCCTCCCTCCCCAAAGTCCCGAGCAGCTCCTGCTCCCGGAGAGGGAGTGAGGGAAAAAAATGGGTGGATGGAAAGGCCCCCAGCCCATGGACCCGGGGTCTGGCCTCCCTGCTGCTCATTCAGGAGGCAGCCAGGGAGTGAAGGGGTTCCAGATGTCAAGCCCGAGGCCCCGGGTTCGAGTCTCCACTTCGCCCTCACAGAATCTAGGAGTACAGTGGACACGGCCCGCCTCCCCCCACAGGGTTGGTGAGTCACATGAGCTCATGGACATGGCGGCTTTCCATCCACTCTTAGGTGCTGCTGTACAGACAAGGGGCCCTCCCAGAGAGCCAAGGGAATCATTACAGGGGAATGTGGGGGGGCTTGCTCCCCTGGGCCTGGCACAGTGCTGCTGCTCAATAAATAAATGCAGGTGGCCTTGCCTGACGCAACAGCTGTGCTCCAAGGTGGGGGTGGGGGGGCTCGGCGCCGCCTCTGGACACAGGTGCCCAGGAGCTCCTGGTTTAAGGAACTGGATGGTGAATCAGCTTGTAAAGTGCGTAACCACCCCTTAGACTACCTGCCTCACCTCCTCACATCACTCTGAACTGCTGCAGAACTGAGTTCTAGTCCCGGCTCCACCATGAACCCACAGTGGGACCTTTGAAGGTACCTTCCCCCCCAGGGCCTCAGCTCCCTCCTCTTTACAGTGGAGCTCCTAATACTGATCCCCTCTACTGCCAGGGGCTCTACTGAGGCTGTACGTGACAGTGACGTAAAAGCACTACGTCTGGAAGGCCAGATCTTGTTACAGCTAAAGGTCTTGTGAGGCTTTCCCTAAGAGGAGCTGTGCCACGGCCACCTCATTCCCACACAGCCCTAGACGGGAAGGGGGTGCTTCTCATCTCCCTCACGTTGGTCCTATGGGGTTATGACCCCCTCAGTGGGAGCCCCTACCTGGACACTGAGACCTGAACCAAACCCTGTGCACCCTCAGTCAGCTGGGCCAGGCCTCAAGAGAGCAAAGTCTCTCTGGCAATTCTCTCCCCCAGACCTGGGCCCACAGAGATGGAATCACACAGGCTGGGGGCCCCACAGCTTAAAGACCACAAGTACCTATCATGGCAGGTGTGCCCGGGCAGTGGCTTCCTGTCCCAGGAAGGAGGGAAGCAGGACAGAGCCCCTGTCTTGTCTGTGGCTCCTCTGCTGAAGGGTCTTGGGCAAGTCACTTCCTGACTCTGGGCTTTAACTGCCTCACCTCTCAGATGGGCTACAATTTGCCCTGCCCATCTTTTCTGGGCCACTGGAAATCTCTAGAGAGAGAAGGGAGGAGGAAGTATCGTGGGAAATGCAGCCCCACTGGTCCTGCTCTGGCTCAGCCTCAGCCTCAGGTGGGGGGAGGCCCAGGCTGGGGGTGCCACTGAACTCACAGGCGACCCCAGAGGCAGGCCTCGGTCCTCATCTATAAAATGGACTTCGTGAATGGTCCCCGAGGCCCTTCCCCACGTGTACAGAAAGCAGATTGTGGCAAAGGGAAATGGAGGCTTCCTCCCACAGTAGCCTGTGACCTTTGGCCCAGCGATTGAAAAAAAAGAATCAGCCCCTAGTGACCCCAACTCCTGGCTCCCAGCTCTCCACAATTCCACTTCTCAGCTACTCTCCAGATGGAGTACGAGCTGGCAAAAGATCAGACAGCAGTAGAGACAGGCTGGGTTTGAAGGTTCCCCAAAGCTAATGCTGAGAACTGCCACCCCCTCCCCCAAACCCCCATCTCTTGGTGAGGACAGACAGTGGTTCCCACACCAAATGGTCAGAGCCCCTTGGAAGCAGGGCATGTGCTCACAATGATGATACAAAGAAACAGGGCTCTAGCCCCCACCCCACCCCACCAGGAGGTGAACTGAGATTTCACAGAACAAACAAGAAAGTCATTGAGGGGGGCCCTCGGTGACCACCCCCAGGATGTTATTGCTTTGGAGCGCGCTCTCTCTCTTTATAAAGGCTGTGCAGACCCTAGAGGGTAGGCTTGGGCGGGAGTGGGGGGCGCGGGGGCACCGAGGCCTCTCTCCCTCTGTGTGGGACAGCCAGGGTCTGCCCCCCGTCTTTGAAAAGCTACCCCTGAACCACCAGAGCAGGGACGGCTGGAGAGAGAAGGCGCTCTCCTGGCTCAAAATATTCCGAATGATGAGTAATAAACGAACAGCAGAGAAATCACACTGGTTAAAAAAAAAAAAACAAACAGGGGAGGGGCTGATTCTGGGCCTCAGATCTGAGGCCATCCAGAGCCCTGCTGCCTCCTGCCCCAGCCTCGGGATTCCACCCAGCACAATCCCAGGAAGCTTGAGCATCTCCGTCTCCCCTTCCCAGTGCAGCATGGGAAGCTCCATGGAGGCGGTATAACATCCAGAACTTTAAAGGCTCCCCAGGGCTTAGACAGGCGGAGGGAGGAGAAGGGAGAGAAAGGGAGGGAGGTGGAGAGGGAGGAAGGGGTCCCAGGTGGAAGAAATTGCCTGGTCGATAGCCCGCAGTGAGACCAAGGACCAGGCGGGGCTGAACACTGCTGGGCATCCCCAGTGGAAGATGACGTCATCCCGTGGAGCCCAGGCCTCTCCACCAAGGCCCACAACCCTCCGGGGTCCTTCACAAATAAAACCAGTACCAAAGATAATGCATCAGAACATCTGAGTATAAGGGGCAGCTCCAGCTACAACCCTGGGGTAGGGGGTGTTGGGGAGGGAAGAGGAAGGGCTGGCCTCCCATGAACCAGGCTCCAGGCCCAGACCCAGACTAGTGAGGAGACAGCCGTCTCCTGGAATGTTCTGGTGCCTCCTCTCCACCCCTGTCCTGGAACTCTGCAAGGACTATATGCAAGCTAAGAGCAGGCCCCAGGGCCTGGAACACTAACTCTACCCAGCTAAACTGGACTACGCCCTACACAGCAGGGACTGGGTAACGAGGGGTGGTGGGCTGCTGGGTGCCTCCCAGGGGAGGTGGCAGAAATGTGCTTCTATAAAGAGGGGCCAACCTGTGTCCTCCCAGCATGCAAAAGGGCTTCCAGAGGCCTCGGGGAGGGCCGGACCAGGAAGGCAGCTACCCGGGCCCACTTGAGAAGGAATCTCCTGATTCTTACACTCATGAGCCAAGGTAGTTGAGGCCGGGGCAGCGGGTTCTGCCCTTAGTACAGGATGGTTTGTTTAAAAAGACTAAAATAGGGAAGCTCTGTTGCCTCCCCAAACCCCTAGCCTGGAGGCAGAGGGGTAGACAAGAAGACCTTTGACCTCATCCAACGAGGAGGGCTTCTCCTATTTGGGAAACCCTTGCCTTGGCACCACCAGTCAGTCCCAATCCCAACTTTACTCAGGCTCCCTCTCCAGTCCGGCGTCCCCAAAATTCAGAGACGGTGAGTGCTCCAGACTTGGGGTTCTCGAAAGTCAGGGTCCCGCAGTTCTTCCACCAAAACACAGACGACCCAGTTCTTCCCAGTCCACTGTTTCCAAACTAGCTTGTTGCAGTCCCATGGAGCATGGCACCCTGGGGGGGCTCTGTGCCAGGCCCAGGGCACTGCCTCCTTTCCTTTGGTCCCTGCTGGACCCCCAAATTCCTAGAGCCACCGGAAGAGGGGCAGGCAGGAAGGGACAGACACGGACTCAGACACGCTGCGGCAAAGCTCCTTCCACAGGCAGGCGGAGGGAGGCCGAGCTCCTCTTCAAGCGGGAGGCTCTAGACCTCCCCGGAGCTGGCTCCGGATCCTTGCAGAGCTGCCCCATCGGCTCTGGGGCAGGAGTAGCTGCCTGAACCCGGTACCGCAGGAAAGACACTTGCTGGTAATTGGCACCATGGAGATGGCCGCTGGGTTCTGGACTTGGCTCCGGGCAGCGAGCTTCCGAGGAGGCAAAAAGGGGGAGCAGTCGGACAGTGTCTGGGACGGGAAGATGGTCTGCGCTGCCGCCTCAAATCTTTTCCTTTCTCCGGATTGCAGCCACGTCCACCAGGTCGAGAACTGGCCAAGTCAAAAGTGCAGCCAATCCCGTTGGGAGAGGGAAGGTCTCAGGGGGTAGGAGGCAGAGAGGGGGTGAGGAGGGGCCCTGGGGGGGCAGGTTTCCCCATTCTGCTTCCCCGCTATGGGGGAGAACCCCATCCTCCTCTGTTCAATGTGCCCCTGGGCCTGGGGTCCCAGGTTGGGGCTGGGCATTCTCCAGGTCTTGTTGGGGAGCCCCCCCCGCCCCACCCCGGCCCTAAGATCGCTCGCCACAGGGCCCCACGGTGCTCTCGAGGGACAACTGGGACGCCTGCCTGAGCAGGGGGCCCGCGGCGGGGTCCACCATGGAGGAGGTGGGGAAGAGCTTGTACCAGCCCACGGCTAGGGTGGTCAAGTCCAGCTCCTCCAGCAGCACTCGAGCCACACCCATGAACTGCTTCCGCTCCATCCGCCCGTAGTTTCCCCATACGATCACCTGGGGGGCAAGAGACGCTGCGCTTCAAATCCTGCCAGTGTTGCTCACAGGTCACCCCCGCACCTACTCCATCTCTGAGTCCCATGGATGCTACTGCCTTAGAATGCCCCAGGCCTAACTGCACTTCCCTGGCTCTGGTGCCACCATTATCGCTCGCCTGGACCACTGGCTTCCTGCCTCCCAGCTAGCCCTCTCCATTCCACCCTCCACATCCTCCGTCTCTGAAGCCAAGCCTGGATGGCTGACCCTACATTGTGAGTCCCCTGCCTGGTCTGCCCCCCTCCAACCCCCACCTGGCCCCCTGCTTCCAGATCCTGGGAAACCCTCCACGTGAAACAAGTTTTAAAAGTGGCTGGTAGAGGTGCAGGTGCTAACTCCCTTCCTTTTCCCAACTGACTCCTCTACAGTGCCTTCCCTGCACTGTGGTCAGTACTCTCTCAGCATAGCCAGTTGGGTGATTCCAGTGGCTGCAGGACCCTCACGTGCTTGCTCTTCTGTATCTCCAGTTCTAACTCTTTCCCCTCCATGAAGGTGGGCTGGCTCGATCATTCCGTAGACCTTGGCGGTTTTCATGCACAGCTTCTGGGGTCAGACACATGTAGTAGGTTCAAATCCCAGTCCTGGCTGGGTGGTTTGGGCAAGTCATCTAACCTCATGGGGTCTCAGAGTTCTTGTTTCTAAAGGAAATTATCCCCAGTTTACCTCGTGCAGAAGGATCAGAGGGATGGATATAAAAGCTCACTGTAAACTCTCGGCTGCTCCTCAAGCATAGAGTAAGATGAAAACGGTCTGAGCCTATGCTACTGTGACGTGCTTTGTGGCGGCAACTAATCCAAAGCTACACTGGTTTCAAAGTCAATCTTCCCAACAACCCTACAAAATGCTCCCATTTTAGTTGTTCAGACCGAGTCTCGGAGAAGTTAAATCATTTACCAAAGGGGGCTCACCTGACCAATCTTCAGTGCTCCTTGGGTAGCTGTTCAGAGGTCTACCTCTAATGCACGGATGGATTCATTTTAAACTGGGGTTATGAGCTGAACTGTATTTTCCCCCAACTTGATGTTGAAGCCCTAGCCCCCAGAATGTACCTGTATTTGGAGTCAGAGCCTAAGATTCAAATGAGACCATTAGGGTGACCCTAATCCAATCCAGCTGGAGTTCTAAGAGAAGGTTAGGACACATGGAGAGACACCAAGGATGCATGTGTGCACAGCAGAAAGACCATACGAGGACACACAGTGGGAAGGTGGCCGTTTGCAAGCCAAGGAGCAAAGTCTCAGAAGAAACTGAATACCCTGATCTTGGGCTTCCAGCCTCCACAATCGTGACAGATAAATATCTGTTGTGCAAGCCACCCAATCTGTGGTACTTTGTTACGGCAGCCCTAGCAAACTAATACAACTGGTGATCAGATCTCGTGTCTGGTGCTGGTGAGTCTGTCCTGCTCTGACATTCAGAGAGCTCAGTTAGCAACGACCCCTTCCCTATTTCTGCTTCCCCACCCTCTCCACATCCTGGACAGACCATTCTCTGGAGCTTCCCCAAAGATGCTCATGCCAGAGGCCAGAATGCATGACCTTCATCTAGTAGACGAGACCTGCCCCCTAGATGGTCGTCTGGTGGGTTACACTGTGTCTGCATGCCTCCAGGCTAGAAGACTTTTCCCAAACTTTTTTTGACAGGGATATACAGTAAGACACTTAGAGCGAGGCGCATACGTGGGATTCCCGATTAAGGCAAGTGCCTCTCACCAAATACGGCTTGCCTTACTAAGAATGATAAATGTTTTCTTTCCTATTCCATTTCATTAAACAAGCTAACAAACAAATTTGCTAAGAGGTGCTAACCTTATTTCACAGCTCACTAATGGGTCTTAACCCTCAGGTTGAAAAATCCTGCCCTGGACAGGCTCTGGGCTTCCAGGTTTGGCAAAAAGTCCCACTGTCTTGGCAACTTGTAACACTTTGGGCCTGTCCTCATTTGCTTTTCCTGTCCTGGTTAGAAGCAAGAAATTGAGGCACCAGCTAGAGGTGCCCGAGTAGCAGCTCTGCGATGACGGGCATGCGGTTCCCGCAGGCATCTGACCTGGGCCCTGCCGACGCCCACGATGGGCAGCTATTTCCAGCTCCATGTCTGAGTCACCCTTAGGACCCTCCTAATGGCCAGGGGGACAAATGCTTCTCTAGCTCCTCCACACCTCCCAGTCGATTATCTCTGTGCTCCAGGCTCAGCCCCGGGCTTCCAGAGGCTGTTAATAATAACAAGAACAATGGGACAGCCATTTGAAGAATGTTTCCAATGGGCCAAACATATTTTTCTTGCATAATGCATACATTTCGTTGTCACAATAATGTTCTCTGGAGGGTCTCCATCTTACAGATGAAGCATCCCCATCTTATATAGATGAAGCAGCCAAGGCTCAAAAAAGAACTGGTGCCAAGCAGTACCCTTGGAGCTCAGATCAACCACAGAGCTCTACTTCCTCCAGGGGAAGCTCTCCAGAGACTTTCTCTCTTCCCAGGAGTGCCCTCCTCTCCCTCTGGAACTAGACACACAGACACATAGACACACAGACACACACAGACACACACAGACACACACACACACACACACACACACACACACACACACCAGCGCCCCTCACCTGCAGGACTTTGCCCTGGGGACTCTCAGGAAACAGCAGCACCTGGTTATACAGCGGGTCCAGCGACTTGCGAGCAACTTTGGTCTTCTTCTTGGCAATGCAGACGCCGTTCTCCAGCAGGTAGGCCTTGATATAGGCCGCTGAGGACAGGCCAGCGGGGAGAATTCCAATAGGGCCCTCAGACGGTGGGTAAATGGCTGCCCACCCACTGCTGGGGGCCAGCTGTCCCCCTGGGGTTTGAGGAGACAGCCACAGAGGTGGGTGTGGTGGTAGATGTGGATGATGGGGTGCAGCCAGGGTTGCGCAAGGCCTCCTTTACCCCCTTGGGGGGGTGGTCCTGCCTGCTTCCTCCCTGCCTTTGCTCACTGTGTACTTCCTGTTTCCTCTCTGCCCCTGATTTGTTCACCCCTTCCCCTGCTTACACATTCATCACTGACACATTCACTAGGCCTGGGTGTGAATGTGTAAGCACCTAGGTAAAGGGGTATAGCTATAAACAGGAAAGATGGTCCCTGTCCTCCAGAAGCTCAAACCAGTGGAAGACCAACAAGGTTAACTGAGAATCTCAAATGCGTCCCCAGAACAAACCCTAAACCACTAGCTCATGTGAGTCACTAGAGTTGGGACAAAGGGATCCCCCGTAGGCGGGCCTCATTTTCTCTTTTCTAGACCCAGATACCCATCAGGACCTCCTCCCTGACCTCCACCCCTGCCCTGCGGAAGCAAGGGTAGTCCCCACACCTGGCAGTGTCTTGGAGCCTGGCTTGGCCGTAAGCCCCCGAGCCTGGATGATGTCCACTTCAAGCTGGCCATTCCGCTCCTGCAAGCCGATCTCCACGTCTCCTGCAAGACACCCAAGCAAAGGGACGGGGAAGTGGCTTAGAAGCTTGCCCAAGGGCTCAGCTCCTCCTCTCTACTTACAGATGAAACCCCCTTCCCCTGCTTCAGCTCCAAACAAGACCAGAAACAACTCCAACACAAGTCCCTGGGCTCTGCTGAGGGGTTGGCAGGTATGGACAAGGCTCTAAGCTGGGTGCTCAGTGGACTGCCAAGATTGAGAGGGCAAGGCGAAAGCTGCAAGGCTTGTGCCGCCCCCCCCCCACCTCGAACAGCCCTTGGGGCACTTACCCATTGGCGTGGTGGCCAGGGTCTGGCGGCCCACAAACTGCGCTGGCCCCATGCTGCCCAGGAAGTCACTGAACTGCGCGTCTGATGCCAGGCAAACTCCCCCATAGTTAAGGCTGCAAGAAGAAAGGATGAGACCAAACCAAATGTTCCAAGGCATGGACTGAGGACTCTGAGGACTCAGAGCACCTCTCGGTCCCTGGGAATTCTGTCCACATCCATCACCCGGCCTCAGGCAGACTGGTGTGCTGTCTCTCCCTCCTCCCTTCTATGTTCATGGCCTTAAAAATCTCCACTTCAGCTCCAAAATTCCAGGGCTTATTAGCTTTTGTGTCCTGTACCATCCCCTCGCCTCTCCTCACCAAGCCTCAGCTTCCACCTCCATGAAATGGGTAGGATACCTGCTGTTCTAGGCGATTGTAAGAAACATGGGAGGTGATGCTTGTCAGTGCCTGGCTCCTGTGATTCTAGGGCCACGACACTGTGTGGTCCAGAGACCAGCAGCATCGCCCAGGAGCAAATTAGGAATAAAACTGTACCCCCACTCTACCCCTACTGCTGAATCAGTCAGCCTTTAATTTTTTATTTATTTTTAATTTTTTAAAGATTTTATTTGAGCGAGGGAGAGAGCACAAGCAGGGGAAGTGACAGAGGGAGAGGGAGAAGCAGGCTTCCCACAGAGCAGGGAACCAGATGTGGGGCTTGATCCCAGGACCTCAGGATCATGACCTGAGCTGAAGGCAGATGCCCACCAACCGAGCCACCCAGGTGCCCCTCATGTAGAGTCTGCCTTTTAACAAGAGCCCCAACAGACTTGCTTACATCTGACAATTTGAGAGGCAAAAGACCAGTGGCTCAGCCTCAGAGGTCTCCTTTTGTTGCTGCTACAGGGCTGCCCAAAGTCTACTGCCCACCCCACCCCCCCAAAAAAAAAAAACAAAGTCCTCTGCCCCTTCTGTTGGGAAGGAGACCTCGAATCTCCCCCTCTCCAAGACACTGATTCCCATGGAGCAGAGCAGACCAGGTTCCTTAGTCTGTGTATGAAGTCAGCCTGGCCAATCAGCCCAATCCTTCTCTTGGCTGAACTGGCTCAGAGACCTGCAGGTGGCCCAGTTCAGCCCACAGGAATCTAGTTAGGAAGCTTTGTTTTAACTGCGGGGAGTAAGAAGCTCTCTTTTTCCAGCAGACATGAACCTCAGAGAGAAGACTGGAGCCAACTTGCTGCCATCTGGGAATCCATGAAGGAAGCCATCAGACAGGTGGCACTGCATGAGCTCCTGGATCAAGTTCTGCCTGAAGCAAGATACTTCATATCTCTCTCTCTCTCTCTCTCTCTCTCTTTTTTGGTTACATAAGTCAATAACAACTATTATTATTATAAACTATTATTTTCCTTAAGCTGATTTTAGTTTTCTCTCTCATCTCTGAAATGGGAATGTTCCCATTTCCTGGGTCTGTAGTATTAAATGAGATGAGGCACTGAATACCATGCTTGAGGTGCCCTGCTATCTTTAGGAACAAAACATTGGCAGCCGACTTCCTCATCTGACCCTCATTCCAAACCCAGGAGGTTGGGTCTTCATATTTATCACCACTATTGAGATGAGGAAGCCCGGGTCCTGCTCCACCTAAAGCCACAGAGTTCACAGGGCAGTTAGCACTTGAATACGACACTTCCAATGCCAATCTCTTTCCACCTGGGCAGGTCCCAAGAACAAAAGTGAACTTTTAAAAGAAATTATTTTATTTATATATTTGAGAAAGAGAGAGAGATTGAGGGAGAACATGAGCTGGGGGGGGGGAGGGAGAAGCAGACACCTCACTGAGCAGAGAGCCCGACTCAATGATCGACCTCACGACTCCAGGATCATGACCCTAGCCAAAGGCAGACAACTAACCGACTGAACCACCCAGGTGCCTCCAATAGCGGACTATTAACAAGTGTCTACTGTGTGCAAGGTTTCTTAGCAGCAACCAGGGAGGTCTCTGAGCAGGAGGAGGAAACCGCCTTGGGGCCTTGAGGGCACAGCATGCTTGGTTCACTGCCTGAGGGCACCCCACTACCACCACCACCACCACAACCACCAAAGCTCCCCTCTTGGGAAACCTGCTGGGATCTCAGCCTTGAAGGGGCAGGAAGAGCTTCCAAGGAAGGTGCCCCGTCCTGCTTCTAAGTCACTCCACTAGCCTGCCTTTCCAGAGTGACAAGACCCTGCACGCCGAGAACCTATCATTTTGTCAGGGAAATGTGTGGCTCTGGGAGAAATGAGTGAAAAGGACAATATAACAAGACACACCCAGTCCCCTCCCCACCTCCCACTTTGGGTTGGGTACTGCAGTACCAAGGGCTTACTATGTGCTAGCACCCTTCCAGGCTCTGGGGCTTATTTAAGTCCTGTCCTCATGGGCCGTATCTTCTTTTTTTTTTTTTTTTTTTTTAGATTTTATTTATTTATTCATGAGAGACACAGAGAGAGAGACAAAGAGAGGCAGAGAGAGAAGCAGGTGCCATGCAGGGAGCCTGACGTGGGACTCGATCCCAGGTCTCCAGGAACCCTGGGCTGAAGGCGGTGCTAAACCGCTGAGCCACCAGGACTGCCCCTAGGCCGTATCTTCTGGTGTGACTCCTGATGTTGGGTTCTAGTGAAGCAGGCATGATTTTATTTACCTAACATCAAGGACACTCGGGTTCAGCAAAGGAAAGCCACTTGCCTAAGATCACACAGGGAGACAGCGGGAGAGGTAAGATTTGAACCTAGGTCTGCCTGAAAGAGGCACTTTTTAGGTGGCTGCCACAGCCTACAATAATTGCCCCTTGTCCAGGACTGGTCCCAGTATGTGAAGTGGGCTTCTGGAGGCCTGGTACACTTTTCTGGTGAATACTGTGCTCATCTCTTCCTCCTGGAGAGACAGCTCAACCTGTCTCCCAGCCTTGTAACCAAGTGTGGCCAATGTGAGCTGAAGGCATACAGGCCCCTTCCAGGTCTAACCTATACAAATCTCCATACTGTCTGTTTTATGTCAATCTCAGCCTATGGACAGTAATGCCAAAGGCTAGAAATGCCTGGGGCTTTCACCTGGGCCTCAGTGCTTGCCATAGACATCTCCCCTCTCCAAACCAATGTTACCACAGGACCAACCCTTGTGGTTCTTATGATGATTGCAAGATACCTTTCAGCAACAATCATCAGGAAACTGAAAAAATAAAGGCTTATTACCTACAAGACCTGAAAATCGCACAGCACACATGTGGCTACATAACGAGGTTGTGGGCAGTGGGGCTCGAGACCACACAAACCAGGAGTTCAGCTTTTATTGGGGTCAAGGGTTAGGCCTAGAAGTTCAGGCTCACTCTTTATTGGTGAATTTAAAACATAGGAGTGGGAATTTAAAACACAGGAAGAGAAAAGACCAGTGGCCCAAATGGCCAGTTATCGAAATCAACCAAGATTTCTAAATCAAAAGAGCCTCAATTGTGGGGGAGGTGGCCTGGCTCTGTGTGGCTGACAAATTTGTTTGCCTCTTTGAAATGAATGCTTCAGCAATCAAAGCTTAAGTCAGGCACTGCATTACAGAAAAAAAACAAAACAAAAAAACCCCTGCAAAACCTCAACTCTCAGGGCTCACAGGACACCATCTCACACCCAATAAAATGGCTACTATCAAAAACAAAATAAAATTAAGAAAACAAAAAAAACAAGTGTTGGCAAGGATGTGGAGAAATTGGAATCCTTTGCACTGTTGGTGGGAATGTAAAATGGTACAGCCGCTATGTAAAACAGTACGGCAGTTCCTCAAAAAATTAAAAATAGAATTACCATATGATCCAGCAATTCCACTTCTGGGTGCATGCCAAAAAAATTGAAAGCAGGGTTTCTGAGACACAGTTGTACACCCATGTTCATAGAAGCATCATTTGCGATAGCCAGAAGGTGGAGACAACCCAAGTGTCCATCAGTGAAGGGATGGTTTATACATACAATGGAATATTATTCAGCCTGAACAAGGAAAAAAGTTGTGATATATTTTACAACAGGGATGAACCCTGAAGATGTTATGCTAAGCAAAATAAGCCAGTCACAAAAGGATAAATACAATGTGATTCCACTTATATGAGGTATTCGAGTAGTCAAATTCAGAGACAGAAGGATGGTTGCCAGTGTCTTGCTGGGGGAGAATGAAGAATTAATGTTTTATGGGGACAGAGTTCACTTTAACAAGATGAAGAATTCTGGAGGTGGATGGTGGTGAGGGTTGCACAATGTGACTGTACTTAATGCCACCAAACCAACACACTTAAGAATTGTTATGATGGGGCGTCTGAGTGGCTCAGCCGGTTAAGTGTCTAACTCTTGATTTCGGCTCAGGTCATGATCTCAGAGTTCAAGCCCCACAATGGGCATGAGCCTGCTTAAGATCCTCTGTCTCTCCCTGTGCCCCTCCCTAAATCCCCCTCCTCTCCAAAAAGAAAAAAAATTGTTACAATGATGGGTGAAGGGCAGGGGGTGGCCCAGGTTTTCAGTTATGGAATGAATAAGTCACAGGGATGAAAGGCACAGCAGCAGGAATACAGTCATCGATATTGTAATAGCACTGTGTGTGGGGACAGATGGTATTGACGCTTGCAGTGAGCAAGGCACAATGGACAGAGCTGTCCCATCACTATGTTGTACACCCGAAACTAATACAATCCTGTGTCAACTCTACTCCAATTAAAAAAGAATTGTTATGATGGTAAGTTGGTATCCTCAGTATTTTGCCACAATTAGGAAAAAAAAAAAGCCCTCACATACAATCTTCTCTCTTCGCCCCATACAACACTCTAATGATGGCAAAGCCACAGGAAAAAAAAAAAAAAAAAAAGGAGCTGACCCCAAAGACCAGAAACATCTGCATTGAAATTGGCATGAACAAGAAATGAATGTTTTCATTCAGTCATTGATTAAAGAGGCTAGTTATGGCAACTGGCTTTACTTAAATATGGTGCCCCTGGCCCCTGGCCTGAGCTCACAGATCCCCAGATTAGACACCTGACTCAAGCTCGGTCAAACAAAAAATCTCTCTGGCAAACAATAAAAGAGAATCCCAGAGACCAAAAGTCATGAGGACTGAGCCC